ATGCTCTCACCCTTGTTGAGGGCAGGGTTACAGCTCTGCACGTGACTTCTCTTCCCTTGTTGGGCAGGTTGTTGGACGCAGAGCTCAGCCTCCCATGGAAGTGGGGAGTCTTGGGGGTCAGTAACACTTTCTATTGCTAGACTGTGAGCCGGGACCGTAATAAAATGTTGCTGGAGAATTAAAATGTTTGTAAAAGTCTCTCGTCAAATGCTATGTGTTATATTTACTCAAGAAATATGCATCCAGTGCTTACTGTGGGGCTGGCACTTTGGGCTTGAATGACTTGATCTTCATGGCAACTCTGTGAAATGGCTGACATTCCTATTTTTCAGATGAGAAAATTGAGGCTCAGAGAAGACATGTGACTAGCCCCCAAAATGTGTCACAGTCTGGACTCAAATGCACAATTTTGCCTTTACACTACCCAACTGGTGTGGTAAAAAGGACAGTGTTTAAACATCTCTGATCTCACTTTGTAGGTGCAGTTCCAAGAATCAGCAAAATACTTCCCCGTTTTTCTTTCCCTGTTGAAATCCTCTTCAGTATTCAAGGTCGAATCCAAATGCCATAGAGCCTTCCCAGAGTTGCCCAGACCTGATCCTCACTCTTTCTTCTGGGACCCTACAAGCTGCTTGCGTCTCTAACACTCACATCATCATGATGTGAGTCACAATTTACATTTTGCCTTCCCCACTTGCGTCTTTTTTTTTTTTTAAAGATTTTATTTGAGAGAGAGAATGAGATAGAGAGAGAGAGAGAGAGCATGAGATGGGGGAGGGTTAGAGGGAGAGGCAGACTCCCTGCTGAGCTGGGAGCCCGATGCGGGACTCGATCCCGCGATTCCGCGATTCCAGGATCATGACCCGAGCCGAAGGCAGTCGCTTAACCAACTGAGCCACCCAGGCCCCCCCACCTGACTTGCGTCTTGCTGGTCTTTCTGATCACACGGTACAGGGCAAGTAAGAGGTGCTCAATAAAAGTTGAATGAAATGAATTCACCTGTCAGCTCCCAACTGGTACCTAATCCCAAACTCATCTCTTAACACCCTTTAGGCCATGGCTCCTGCAGGGCGGGGAGACAAGGAATTGCCTGGCCCAGCGAGAACAGAAGGCACCCAGTGACCTGATGGGGCCGGGTGGCAATGGTGTTGGGAACTCTGTTTAAGGCTCATGTGCATCCTCCCAAGTTGATGGTCACTGGGGCGGATTTCTTGCCTCCTGGGCCAGCGGTGAGGGCTGGTAAGACACCATCCCCACTTCAGGAGGGTGGGTTTTCTCTGGGTCACCGAGCTCCCGTGCTCCCACGGGGCACATCCAGGTCCTTGACAGTACTTAGGACAAGAGGGTCGGAATGCAGCAGGGATCTGAGGGCTCCTGGAAAGGTGTCCCCATGCAGGGTGGGGGTGGGTGGGGCTTGTTGGCCAGAAGTCGGTGGCGCCTCCCCCGTCTGCCTCTCGATAATGGAATTTTTCCGTCCCAAGTCACTCTGCCGGGCTTATGATAAGACTGGTTTGTGTATATGTTTCTTCTTTCCGTGTGGAAAAACTCAGATATTCCAGGCAGATTTGTCAGCAGCTCTCCCCCACTCAGCCAGCGGGGAGGCTCCAAGCCACAGGCACTTACATTCCAGCACTAAGCCCGCTCTGGGCCCATCGCTGTGGCAGGAAGCCGGGGACTGGGACTGGGACAGACCAGCACGAGCACAGTGGCCTGGATGGCCTTCCAGGCTAGCCCAGCTCTCGCCCCAGCCCCCTCACATGTGCGCGCGTGCACACACCCACACACAAACACACACACACACACCCGTCTCTTCCAGGTCTCTATCTTGTTCCCCTCATTTCTGCCCCCTTTCCCCCTCATTCTCCTCTCCCTTTCCCTGTCCATCCCTTTATCACTCCATTCCTCCCAGTCCTCCTTCCCACCCTCTCTCCTGTCCTCATTCCCATCTCTTGTCTCCCCGCCACGCACACCCCCATGTCTCTCTGCAAAGGGTGCAGGGAAAGGACCCAACTACTCGAAATGACTGCCGAAACTTGGAGCTTCCAAGGGAAATAACCTGAAGCTACCTCAGGCCATCCTGGCCCATTCCTTACCACCCCCAACTGGCTGAGGATTCTCTGCAAGATGAAGGGAAAAGCCAGGAATTCCTACCCTTGACAAAAATCACTGAAGCAGCTTGGAAGTGAACCCCAAAGGGCTCATTGTGGCGATCCTTTGAGGCGCCCGCTGCTGAAGGGAGACACCCCGTGAGGGCAAATGGTGGGTGCAGTGGGAGAACGGCCGGGCCCCTGTGGGGGTCTGTCCTGTCACCCAGCCTGGCTCCCCTGGCCTCAGCTGTCAGGTTGGGGTTGGGCGGGTGGCATTTAGTCAGGTGTCTACCACCTCCTGCCCTTTGGCCTATGTGGGCCCATTCCTGTGTCCTCTGCAGGATATTTGCAAACTCTGCCTCAGTGTTCTCAAGCCTTAGCTTGTGTAAGAATCACCAGGGAAGCTCATCAACAATGCGGGTTCCTGGGCCACCCCCGTACTGACTGGAATCCTGTGGGTGGGTCCCAGAAGCTCTGTTTTGAACCAGGACGTCAGCCTCTAAAGAGGACACTGAGTAGCTCCTGAGAGAGACAGAGACTGTAGGCCCGCAGTGTTAGGGCCCAGAGGCAGGCACCAGGCCCTCCAAGCGGGCTGCCCTTCCCGTGTGGGGAGCTGGGACGTGCCCCCACGTCCTCCTAGGTAGGCCCATTTTTAACCTGGCCCAGCCTGTTTTAAGAGGATGCTCGCCATGAATCTGAATGCCGCCGTGTGGGTTCTTCCCAGACCTTTGTGACTGAACGGAGCCACGGCCTGGCCCACCTGAGACAAGAGAATCTGTCTCTTGACCCTCCCTGTACAAGGGGCCTCACAGCCAAGCGAGCTCAGGGCCGGGAGGGTGTGTACAGAACTCACATTGTGTTTCAGGCCCTGTGTGGAAATACCAGATCTATTCCCACCTGTAACTTTGAAAGCTCTCACCACCACCACCATTTTACAGACAAGGAGACTGAGACACAGAGTTTCAATACACCCTCCACGTAGGCCCCAAAGAGTCGTATCTTTAAAATCCTAGTTGGACTTGACATAAAACCTGTGTCTACGGCTCCCTGAGGTAAAGCTCAAGTTCAGTGTGGTCTACGAGGACCTTCTGGGTCTGGCTTCTCCCTTTCGTCAACACCGACTTCCCACTTGGGCTTATGCTCAGTGACACACATACTTACAGTTCCTTCCACGCCACGGCGCGTGCTCTTCCCACCACCACGGATGCCTGCCATGCCTTCTTTGCTAGATAATTCCACTCACCCGCCGGGGCCGCCGCCCGGAGCCCACGGTTCCCCGAGTCCTTCCCTGACACCCTCCTAGGCTGACCTCAGCACGGCCCCCCGAGACCGTGATGTCACGCTGCACTTGAGCTGTGCGTTCCTAGCCCAGCACTCTCCTCAGGACGCTGAACTTCCTCCCTCATGACACGGTGAGCTCCTCCGGGACAGGCATCCGTCGTGGTCACCTGTGTGGTCCCGGCGCCGGTAACAGGGCCTGGCGCCCCTCGGGTGCTCACGTCGGGTCTGGGGAGCCCAGTGGACTCTTCATTTTAAGTGTTAAGTTAGGAATCATGACAGAGAACAGAAAGGGAATTTTAAGAGGTCTTCAGACACCGGAGGATCTTCTAAGGCTCTTCCGGCCACGGGCCTTGGTCCACTTCCTCACTCCCTACCGACGGAGAACGAGAGCCTCTGCAGAAGTTTAAATGGGGGGACGCATCCATGGCAGGGGCTCTGCCCTGCCCGGGAACAAACTGAGCCTTTGAGTTGGTCTCTGCTGGGCCTTTCTCGTGAGAGCACAGAGCCTGGATCCTATCATCCCCCAAAAATCTGCACTTGGCTTTCAGGGATCCCCAGGCTCTTTCGCTGAGCTCCACCAAGCATGTGTGATCCAGACGCAGCCACGGCTGGCAGGGAAAGTCCATTCTGGGACTTCCCCGTGGGGCCTCCGACGAGCTAGGAGTGTCAGCCCGAGCTTCACGCAGCCAGAGCGGCCCGAGGTGGCCCAGGGCCCAGGGGCATCAAGGCAGCAGCCAGCTCCGGGGGCCCCAGAATCGGAACCCACTGGGTTTAAGTGACCCCACGGACACCCCCCGCCAAATGGCGTACGTGAAGCCACTGAGGCTCAATGCTAGTAACACCCCCCAGCAGCCCTCCCCTGGGGCTTTAGAGGGTGCTGGTCTTCTCCATAGAGAAGCAGCACGGAGGGTGTCGGAGTCGAGGACCTGGGCGTCCTCACTTCTGCCCTGCTGGGTCATGAGGCAGCGTAGCCTCTGAGGACGTCGAGGCTCCACGAAGATGGGCAGGAAAGATTTCTGCGCTTCTCCCAGAGTCAAGCATCATGTTGGTGCACAAATGGGGCTTCCCACGCATCTCCCTCCCCTAAGGGGGCTACTTTACTGCATTCTCCCCCACGCCCCAGGCTGGGTGGGTAATGCGGCCTGGTTAAGGGGAGGCTGGATGTATTGCAGGGGAAAGACTAAGTTTGTATAAATCTGAATGTCCAGGCACCACTTGAAATGACCCAGAGGAGTGCTCAAGCTCAGTATTTAGGACACAGCCTAGGTTTTGAACAGTGGTGGGGGTGAAGGGGGGAGAAGAGTAGGCACTTAGATGGTGGATTTAAGGGGGGAGAGAGATCTCCTTTCTCCCCTAGTCCCAGGCCCCCTAGACAGCTCCCCCAAATGGCTGGGGGCAGGAGAAGGACTGGGAAGGCAAGCCCTCCCAGCAGGATGCCATCTTCCTAGGGCTCTTCCTCGAAATTAGGGCACATTTAGGGGAAAGGCAGGAATCGGGAAGTGACCAGCCCCGGCTCCATTTCCCAATCCTGTCCTCACAGATCCCCACCCAGCCCTGCTGGGAGGCCAAGCGCACTCCGCCAAGAGCCTTCCCTTGCCTCACAGACACCACCCAGCAAGAGCCACTCAGAAATAGAAAAGACGGCCCTGTTTATTCTACTTCTCGAAGGCGCAGGCCTCTTATCTGGACTTACAGGCCTGTGCTCACCGGTGACCGCGGCTGGCTGCATCTCCCAGAGCCTGGCCGTGCCTCAGGGAGAGAGGAAGGCGAGGTGCCCGCGGCTCTAGCACCTGGCCTGGACCACCCATTCTCTCAACTCTGCCAGGCTCTGCCAGACCAAGAGTCGAGGGAAAATCAGGCTCTGTCATGCCTGGGGCCAAGAGCGGGGACCCTCAGAAATCACAGGAGAGGGCAGGGCTGTATGTTCAACGTGAAACCCCTTAAGAGGAAGGAAGACCGAAATGAGGTTGTTTGACCCAGCATCCTAGGGAAACCCCCAGAGGCCTCCTCTTCTGTTCCCTGAGAAGCGAAGCCCTGTAACCCAGAGGAGGGGGGTGGGCGGGCCGATCAGAGCCTCTTCTCCCCAGCTTTAGCTCTACAGGCCAGGGCGACCGAGGAGATGTGCCTGAGCCTGCGGGAGACGCCAAGGGCAGCCCAGGCAGGGGGTCCTGACAGCGACGGCCCTCCCCAGGTCCTGCCGTGCTGCTTCAGGCGGGGAGGCAATGGAAGGTAATGCTGGTGATGGCTCCCAGCTGTCGGCCAGGAGGGAGGTAGGCTGATGAGAGGGGACCAGACAGCATCCGTGATGGTTCTAATGCTTCCGGATGTCGGGCACCCCACGGAGCTCAGAGATCAGGAGTCAGGAGCCGGCGGGGGCCTACTTAACCTGTAAGGAAAGCTGCAGGTTAGCTTCTCCCACCCCCGCGGAGAAGCCTGCGGGCCATACGCAGGACCCAACACACTCAACTGTGGGGAGCACCGAGCCATTCAAGTCTTCAGTTATCCCCTCGTCGAGTCCTTGACCCCCGACAGGCACTCTCTGGTTCTTCTCCCTGACTACACGGTAGAATCACCCAGGGGGTTTATAAAGTCCCCCACCCCTGTCGGCACCCAGAGTCTCTGGAGGCAAGACCTGGGAGCTGCACTCTTAAAAAAAAAAGCTCCCCTGGTGAATCCAGTGCAGCCACAAGGTCAAGAGGAGGGGAGGAGGAATTCAGATAATTTCTGTAGGCTCTTTGGCTACAGCTCTGAATAAGGAAGTAAAAATTCACTAAAATCAAGTTTTGAACTATCTGTAAATAGACTCCATATCACAGCAAGGAAAATTTATGTCGGCACTAAAATTAGAACTTCCTGCCCATGAGGGCTGTTTTGGAAAGAATCTCCTCCTTGCGGGTATTTAAGAGGCCGGATTCTCCCCTTGCTGGAATGGGACATGGAGGGGCCATGGGAGCCTCCACAGCCCAAGGACACTCTGCAGCTCTGGGGACAACCACAGGCTCTGCTCCCGGCTCCCTAGCTCTTTTTTTTTCTTTTTTTTAAGATTTTATTTATTCATTAGAGAGAGAGAGAGAGCATGAGCAGGGGGAGAGGCAGAGGGAGAGGGAGAAGCAGGCTCCCCGCCGAGCTAGGAGCCCGATGTGGGGCTCGATCCCAGGACCTTGGGATCATGACCCGAGCCAAAGGCAGAAGCTCAACCATCTGAGCCACCCAGGCGCCCCCCGGCTCCCTAGCTCTTAACCCCAATTCCAGGGTTCCAGACTGGCCTGGCCTCTGAGGAACACTTAGCATTTGGTGAGCCCCTCCCTCTGTGCCCCCTCCCCTCCCCAGCATCTGGCATATCTCATCCTAGTTCAACCCTAGTTACCACCAGGAGCTTGAGATCATTACTCCTATTTCACAGGGGGAGGGAACTGAGGCCCAGAGCCGAGCAAAACCTCCCAGGGTCATGCAGTCAGGAGTCAAACCCTGCTGGAGTCTCTGCAGATTCTTTCCACTGTGCCATGGGTCCTCCCGTGGGGAGGTGACAGACACAGGACGGTGGGGAGGCTGTGGGGGTGAGCGCACATGCACATGCACGCCCAAGTGTGTACGTTCACAAACAGGCCCCTGAGCTTCAGGGCAAGGACCATCCCTGAGGCTGAGATTATGTCCCTCCTTTTTGGTGTTAAAAAATGTGCTTATATAAAGCACGACTACTAGATGGCAGGATTTTTTTCCCCTTTCAAATGTGCTTACTTGGATATATGAGAAGTTGGTCACTGTTATTCCCCAGCTTTCTTTTGTGAATTTTACTGGTGCAAAAAATCCGAAAGTCTGAGCCCCGAGGCACACTCCCTGCGCCCTCTCCAGGAACCCCCCCCCCCGAGAAGGGGAGTCTAACGGGGGTGTGATCCAGAGTCCGTGAGGCTGGGCCTGCAGCCTGGCAGCCCCGGGAGCCTGTACACACAGCTGGGGCCCAACAAGGCCCGAGGAGCCCAGGCCCTGGGCACTTAGCCCCAGCTCCGCGCCACAGCGGCCTGGCGTGTGACTCGGGGATGAAGAGCAGCGCTCTGCGGACGGCAGAGAAGGTGGCTGGAGTCGGTCTGGGGGGCATGGGGGGCACAGTCCACACTCACAGGGAGCAGGACGCGGCCACTACTCCATGTCCCCCTCCAAGTCCCCCTCTCTGACTGCACTGAGGCTCACATCCTCAAGACTAGAGTGAAAGCCTACCCCTCACAGGGATGGGGACAAGGCCAAAGCTCTGACACGGGACGGGGAATGGACACCTGTCATCAGCCCTCCCCGCACACAGTGGGAGCTCCTTACCCTTCAATGATGCGATTGTTGTCCTGAAGGTCGAAGGCCAGCAGCTTCATCTCCTTACAGAGCTCTTGCATGCTGTCCGAGGCAGAGGCAAGAGAGGCGTCTGCGGCTGAGGCCGAAGTTGTCCTGCTGGCCTCCTTCCCCAGGAAGCCCACCACCTCGACTCTCTATTCCTGCCTCCGGGGCCTGAGGCAGAACCCCTCGGGCTCTAACCTCTGCACCCGACCCCCTCTCCCACCACGCCCTTCCACACACACACACACACACACACACACGCACACACACACGCACGCACACGCCCCTCTCTCCAGCACTTACTGGAGAACCAGGTCCGTCAGTGCAGGGCTGGGATAGGTGGCTGTCGGGGGTGGTGAGACCTGAGCGTCCTTTGTTCTGTCCTGAAGGAGCTGGTGACATAACCAGTCAAGGATCTGAAGGGAAGCCACACTTTTGTCAGGCGGGATGGGCCAACAGGTGTGCTTTTTTTTTTTTTTTTTGCAAGGGAGGTGTAAGGGTAAGAAAAGGATAACAGAACAGCGCCCCGCCCGCATCCCTGGCGCCCCCAGAATGCCCGAGCCTTTCCTGCAGGCCCCTGCTTCCCATGCTGCGCGGCAACTGCTCCAGCGACCCTCGCTTGTCTGTGCTTGGATTTAACGGTCCAGACGGCCAGGTTCTCCTCTGGATCTAACCCACACCCCAGTGGCCCAGTGTGAGCCAGGAGCCTCGGAGAAGGGGCAGGGCAGCCCAGCCGGCCTCTGAAGGACCGGGGCTGCTGCGGGGGCTGCAGGCGGGCGACCGGAGCAGCAACCTTCTCAAGCCGCCTGTGTGTTGGTCTCTTTCCAGAGAGGAGGGTTCATGTTGCCTCTCTCAGGAGTAGCCTGGAACCTCCTCGGCTACACGGGGCATGAGGAAGATGTCCTGGCATTCTGGAAGCTCTGTCCTTGCAGTGACCTTCAGTCTGAGAATGCCAGGAAGCACCTTCCATTCTCTCTGTCCCCACCTCAGGGCACATTTGTCTGTCAGAGACCTCCTAGCCACAGCGTGCTGGGACTCGGTCAAGGGCAGCCTTGCCCAGAGGCAGGGGAGTGGGCCCACGCCCCCAGAGTGCCTGACCGACCCGACTCCTCTCAGCGGTGCCCGCCCATGGCCCTGACCTTCTCGCACCTTGCTGAGGCTCTCCTGGGCTCCCTGGGCTTCCGTGTTATAGGCAGCCACAGAACAGCCGACCATGCGCAAATGGTTCCTGGTCTCGTGCACCTTCCTGGAGAGAGCAGATGAAAAATCCAAGCTGGGTTTGCTCGCTCTTCCCGGAGGCCAATCCAGCTGTCCTTCTGGTCACCACACAGACATGGGGGAGAGCGGGAGCTGAGGGGTCCCGGGCATGTGCTTCCCTCGCTGCCTCTGTCCCCCTGGGTGTGCCCTCAACCCTCCCTGTCCCACTGGGGGAATGCGGATGACACTTCCGACTGAGGCTGCCGAGGGTCCCATCAGAACCACAGGGGGAGCCTGGCACACACACCGGGGAGGACGAGCGCGGGGCCAGGCGAGGCTCCAGAGAGGCAGAGGACAGCCCAGCCCAGCGCGCTTACTCTGGGCACCGCCCTATTGCCAGAGCAAACCAAGGTCAGGACTCTTCTAGGAATTCTCTTTTTTCTCTAAGCGGAGGGACGGAGCAGGAACATTTTCCCCATTGAAACCAATCCGAGGACAGACAAGCCGGTGGTTGATTCCCTCCCCTACCTACACATTAGAATTACCTGGGGGCGCTTTTAAAATGCTGATATGCAAGCCTGACTTCACACCAATTAAATCAGAGTTTGGGGTGGGTTAGGGGTGGAGATGCTGTATTCTAATGTGAGGGTGGGTGAGTGCCTGGGTCTCAGCCCCATAACAAGCCCACAGGTCAGATGGGCCTGGGAACCTGCCCTCTCTTCTCAGGCGGGGCCAGTATTCCCACAGGCAGAGGAAGGAGAGGGGCTCATGTGAGAAGGAAAAACCCAAAACTCCTCTAGAAGACAGTGTGAGAGGCTTCTATTTACGGGCCTCTGCCTGCCCCTGTGTCCCTGACCACTGGAAGTCTATAAGCCTGCCTGGCCTCACCCCAGAGGGATCTTGTGTTCTCCCCAGAGAAGAGGTTTCCCAACATACCCACCTGGGAACATGGAAAGAACCCAGATTTTAGAGGCAGTCATACCCAATACTAGTCGTGGGTCTGCTACTTAACTAGCTGTGTGGTATTGAGAATGAGACCTGTGCTCCGAGCCTCAGTTTCCTCATCTGGGACGTGGGGTGATAGTATCTACCGCATGGGGTACATATCGTGGGATTAAATAAGCTAATGTACAGAAATCGCCCAGGTGCATAAAACCACACAATTTTTTTTTGCCTTTCTTCCTTTACAACCATCTCCCTTCAATCAGGGCTCTACAAATCCCAGCGTTCTCTGAAGCCTGAAGAGCCAGACCAGGAAGGGCCCCAGGGTCCGGGAGCCCAGGAAGGAGGGCCAGACTGTTACCTCATCCACCTGCCGTGCGTGACCAGGCATGTCTGATACTTCTGCACACACTTCTCCTGGAATACCTTCAGGAGCCTTTTGGCTAAATGACTAAAATTCACTCTGAAAAGACAGGAACACCAAGGCACAGAAATAAGCAGCCAGACTCACCTGCGTCCATGCCTAGCATCCCAAGGAGACCTCCTCCGAGGGCTGGCATCCCCAGCAGGGCTAAGTCTCCAAACAAGGAGGAACTGAGGCTCACACACATGAAATGGGGAGGTCAGTGCGGTGTGGACACAGGACACAGGGACAGAGAGACGTGGAAGGACCAGGGGATCTCAGAGAACAGATACACTCAAGCCCAGTCCTCACAGGGAAGGCGAGATGCTTCTGGAGATTGAGAGAGGGAGAGAGAGTGTGTAAGGGTCAGGGGTGGGCGTGGAACTGGGGGAGTGAGTCTCCAAATAATCATTTAAATCAGGGAGGACCTCCAGGAAGATGAGTGTCTAGGGCACAGGGGAGCAGAGAGGAGCACAGCGAAGGTCAGGAGCAGGAAGCAGTGAGCGGTAAATCAGGGAGGACAGTTAGGGAAAGAAATATGACACAAGATCTTGTTTGTGCTGCAAATAAATCCAATGACATCAAGGCTGCTTCAGAGTCAGCTACCCAGTCTCCTTCCCCTGGCCCCAGATAACCTGCCCCAGACACAGTCACCCGCTTTGCTTCTGCCCAACTACAACCTGGGAGCAGGACCCTTCATCACACAGAAGATGGCTCCTGCCTGGGGACCCCCACGCTCCCACTCCCCCACCTGCCAGGGGGACAGGCTACTCACTTATCCAGCTTGTGAATCTGCTCCTCGTTGTAGCCAAGCCCTGAAGGAAACAGGGAGGAATGATGTCACCTGCCCAATCAGTCAACAAAACAGAATGCCACGAGGGTTTGGGGACAACTACAAGGATGCAGACAGCTCGGCCTGGCCCTGGGGGCTCACAGTCCAGTGGAGCCAGGAAGGACTGAGGAGTCAAACAGGAAGCATTATGCCAAGTAGGGGCCACAGAAGCTGCAGAGAAATTGCCGCAGGGACCCTGGGGCTAGGGATGGAGAGAGGAGTACTTGGGGAACATTTCAGGTAGGAAGTGGTGGATGAGTGGGCCTTGAAGGATGTGCGGTCAGCCCCAGCTCCTCATCCAACTCCCAGAGGCACTGAAGCCTGCAGCCTGCGGGCCCCATTCCGGACCATTCAAGCTGCGGGCAGAGCCAGCTGGAGGCCCTGGAGCCTTGAGCTGGATAAGCCAGGCCACCACCCTTCACCTCTCCTTCACCCCCCACCTCCCCTGCATGGACCACTTTGGCCCGAAGTGCTAGTTCTCTGCCTTGGCCACCGCGTGCTGATGCTCACCGCGCTAGGGAGATGCTGCCCCCTGCTGGGCTTCGAGGGAATGGGCCTCCCTTGGCTAGAGGCTAGAGGCTTCCCTTGCTGCCTCCCGCCCAGTTCCCTAAGAGCAGAACCCCCGCCCTGGGCTTTTCGTTCTGGGCCCTGCTCTCAGCCAGCTGAGCACTGGTGAATCCCAGCTGCAAGTCCCAGCCCGGCCTCCTAGCCGCAGGAGCCTGCGGACACGTGATTTTGCCGCACAGAGTTGGCTTCCTCATCCATCCCATGGAACACCCAGGACGGCTGCGCGGGGAGAGAGAAAACCAGGAAGTATTTTTCGGAGTGGCATCTTTCAACATTCCAGGGGTGAGCTGTCAAGGGTTATTCTTCCTTCCGTGTTTAATCTTCATGAAGGAGTCTTGCCGACTGATAGAAGCAAAACTCTTTGAGGCTGTGCGGCGGAGTGGTTAAAAGCCTCCGGACCAGGACTGCTTGGGCTACTTAACCTCCCAGGGTCTCGGTTTCCTTATGTATAAACAGGGGAGGGTAACGGTGCCTAGGGTTTTTACAGGCATTAAATAAGTGCAGATCATGCACAGCCCAGAGGACGGGGTCCAGCGCATGGGAGATGCCCAGATGGGGGGGTGGAGGGTGGGGGGGGGTGAGGCTAGGATGATGGAATCCCAGTGAGGGAGGCAAAAAAGCCTCTGAGGTTCTCTGAAAATCACAGCAAAGGGGGCCAGCGGGGCATCAGGAATGGGGGAGCCTCCGTTTTCCCGGCTTCTGGGTTGCTCTCCCCCTCCACGGCCAGACCCCAGAGGCAGGACCGAGGCTCCCGAGGACAGACGATCATCTAGATCTGCATGTTCCAGCCACCGGCCACTGGACACACGTGGCTACTGAGCGCCTGGCCCAAATTTCTATTTTAATTTCATTAATTCAATTAACTAAAAATTTAAAACTGGAGCAGTGTAAAATATTGTTTTCCCGAAGAACGCGGCTTTATTGCTTTGGTAAGATGACAGTTCGGTCTGCTAAAAAATTAGCTTCAGAAGAGAGATGTGCTGTGAGTGTCGAATACACACAGGACTGTGAGGACTTAGCCCCCCCCTCCCAAAAAAAAGAATGTAAACTCTTTAATATTTTTTTTATATTGATTACATGTGGAAATGACAATTTGGATATATTGGGTTAAATGAAACGTCTTATGAAAATTAATTTCACCTGCTGGTTTCTACTTTTTGAATTATGGCTACTGGAGAGCTCAAAGTTAGGTACGTTGCTGACACCCTGTGTCTATGGGACAGGGCTCTTTCGGTAATCCTAGAGCTGGAGGAGAACTTGGCTCTCAAGCCCAAGGCCTGCAGTCCACACATCAGAAGCTTGGGGCATGGCTGGGGAGGGAGAGGGTTGGTTCCCGGGGTGGGAGCCCCTCAATCCCAAGAGTCAACTGGGAGTCAGCATGCTGGCACCCCAGCCCACCCCTGGGTGCCATCCTACCGTGCCGCATGATGGCGGTCACCATGGGCACGCAGCTGCCCGTCCCTGAGCCTGTAAATGAGCTGCTCCTGCCCCCGGAGGTCCTCTGTGAGGACAAGCAGAGAGTGCAGGCGGAGTAGCTGGCCCAGGGCCTACAGGATATGTCTTCAGACCCTCCCTTATCTGGAAAGCCTGGCTGTTTCAATGAGCCAAAGACACAATGGCTAGGGAAATGTCCCTCAAACTGTAAAGGGCTCTGCAGAGGTGAGGGCTCTCTTCCAGGGGCCGCCCCTCCTAGAAGAGCCAGGCTCCGGCCCTCTGAGCCCCCCATGCATGCCATCTACGCCTCTCCCAGGGCAATAGGCACAGGCCACCCGTCCCTCACTGTCTGCAGGCAGCTTGGAGGCGGGGACCCTGCCCTAGACCAGCAGCACCCTGGTGCCACACGGTGGGCGCCCAGCAGCCACGCGGATGGTCCGAACAGCCGGGTATGAGCAGAGGGAAGGATGGAGGAAGGGAGGGAAGCGAGAGCTCCCAGGATAGTGTGCTCTCCCCACGGCTCACCTGGCCTCATTCTGGATTTCTTGAACTGTTTGTAGATGAGGTTCATCTTGTCCAAACAACACTGAATCTGCTGGATGCTGTGGGCAGGAGACAGGGACCAGGCAAGGGGAGAATCAAACAGCAGAGAGTAAAGGGGAAGGGAGGGGATGACATGGCTGGCGATGGGTGGGGGGACAGAGAGCTGTCTGCCTGCAGAAGGAGCCTCATTGCCACAGTTCGGGGGGCCAGTCTGGGAGTAGGGGTGACTCTCCTATCCCTAAGCTTTTCTGAGGTGCCGTGGGGCCAGCCAGCCACCACTGATTCCCAAGTTTATTCTTTCTGTCTCTGTCCCTCCCTCCCTCTCTCTCTCTCTCTCACACACACACACATACACACACACACACACACACTCCAGGTATTTAGTCAAAGATGAAACACACAAAAAGCCAAGCAGGACAGGCCACAGGAGAATGGCCTTTGCTACGCTAGAAGGCTTGAGAACAGAATCCAGACAGGAGTCCGGCAGAGCCTGCTGGGGATGGGAGTGGAGCCGAGGCCTCTCTCCTGGTGGCCCAGGGAGAGTAGAAGTAGGGTCTTCTTGGTCTCTCCAGCATCTGGCACATGGAAGGTGTTTAAATAATGAATTAAAACCCCTGTTTAAAACACGGATGAGGGGCGCCTGCGTGGCTCAGTCGGTTAAGCATCTGCCTTTGGCTCAGGTCATGATCTCAGGGTCCTAGGATCGAGCCCCACATTAGGCTCCCTGCTCAGCAGGGAGCCTCCTTCTCCCTCTCCTCCACCCCCTGCTTGTGCTCG